CTCCCGCCGCACCGCGCTACGGTCCTGGCGAGTCCCCCGAGGCGGCGGCGGGGCTGACGGTGGACCAGTATGGGATGCTCTACAAAGTGGCAGCACCGCCTGCCACCTTCTCCCCCACGGGCCTGCACCCCGTGGTGAACGTGAGCCCCCTGTCCCCCGCCTTCAACGTGACCTCGCCCATCATCCAGCACCCGGCGGTGCCCTTCCACTCCCTCCACTATGCACAGATCCCTTCGGCTTCCCTGCAGCTCATCGGTTCCCACTACACAGTGCCCTATGCCATCCCTCCTGCCTTCCTGCCTAGTCCTCTCTTGTCTCCTTCCACCAACCTTACTGCCCCCCATGTCCCTCACTTTGTGCCATATGCCTCCCTGTTCACAGAAGAAGCTGCTCCTTCCCCCCAGACTACCTCTCCCACCCACAGCTTCAACAAATCCGCCTCTGCAGCCTCTTCTGGGCAGATGCAGCACCACACTGCGCCTCAACCACTGGACATGGCACCGGGGAGAATTCCTGTTTATTATCAGATGTCCCGCCTCCCACCAGGGTATTCAGCCTATGAGGCACCTGTAGCAGGTGGTAGCCCAGAGTCTCCTCAGCAAGACAGTCAGCTGAGCTCAGAGGTGGCTGCGGCCAATGGTGGGCAGAGGCCCCTGGAGCAAAGTGTGGCCAGGAGGCCCAGCGAGGCTGTGGACTCTGCCTGCAGTGCAGCTGAGGACTGTCTGCCCCGCGGGGCTGCAGCAGGATGTATGGGCGATGGACAGTTCCTTCCAGGTTACCAGATGCTGGGAAGAGAGATCTCTGTGCCTACTCACAGGAACACCCCAGACACTGATCTGGAGGTTCAGAGGGTGGTGGGGGTGTTGGCATCTCAGGATTATCATGTTCTGGCAGCCCAGAGGAAAGATGGCCCAAGCCCTTTGAACCTTTGCCATAAAATCCAGGGAGACATGCTGAGGAACACCACAGACAGGGCTGCAGCTGGGAACAGCCAGTCCCGGAGCCCATGTGGAATGTCCCCCGAAGAGACTGTGAGACAGAGACAGTTAGCCAAAGGAATGGTGATAGCCAATGGAAAGCCAGTACTTGTTCCCATTGGATCTGAGCCTGTCAGGTCTTCCACTTCAGAAGCCCTGGTGAGGGAGAGCCCAGATGCACAGGCTCGAGGAAATGTACTTGAAAAGGAGCTGCCCCAGTTGCAGCCACCCAGCTCCTCACAACTGCCCTCTCACTTCATGAAAGGAGCCATCATCCAGCTGGCAACAGGAGAGCTGAAGCGGGTGGAGGACCTGCAGACTCAAGACTTTGTTCGCAGTGCGGAGGTGAGTGGAGGCCTGAAGATTGACTCCAGCACTGTGGTGGATATTCAGGAAAGCCAGTGGCCTGGGCTTGTCACACTGCATTTTGTGGTTGGGGAGCAGCAAAGTAAAGTGAGCATTGATGTGCCCCCGGAGCATCCCTTCTTTGTGTATGGCCAGGGCTGGTCCTCCTGCAGCCCCAGGAGGACTGCTCAGCTCTTTGCTTTGCCCTGTCACAGGCTGCAAGTGGGGGATGTCTGCATATCAATCAGTTTACAGAGCATGAATGGCAACTCGGCTTTTCAGGCCAACTCCCCTCTCACGGATCAGCTGGTATCTGCTAGGGAGAGATTGGAACAAACACCTCAGGGGCCCAGAGAGCCATCTGACAGAGCTGCTGAAAAGAAGAGCCACACAGAAACAACCAGTATGGCCCAGAGCTCTCATGCAGAATCTTCTCACCCTGAGGCTGGCAGTCTGTACAGTTTGGCCCCAGGCTTCCAAAGATACAGTGTGCAGGCAGAGGAGCCTCGTTCCCCTCTGCTCCGTCCCTCTTTCATTCCCCAGGAAGTCAAGCTGTCTATTGAAGGGCGTTCAAATGCAGGGAAATGATCCCTTGGAGGTGTGAGGTAGGGTGGCCAGAGCAGGTGAGCCTCACCATCAGGTGGAGGAATTGCACAGACTCTGTTATAGGCTCACCAGCAAAGGCTGCTCTTGGCCTTGCAGGAGTTGCTCCATTCCAGTTCCATGGCTGACCAGTTCCTCCTGGGGAGTCAGGAGGGCTCCAGTGCCTCAGGGAGCAGTGACAGGCTAGCTGGGGTGGGGAACAGGGATGCGCTCATGAGTGTGTGATGAGAGCACTCCAGAGGCTGGAGGCTGGGGCCTTCTCCCACCTCCTGGGATAACTGACTCCCTGCAGGGCAGGGGCCGAGCATTCGAGGCAGGTAGGGAGATGAGGAGGGCAAACTTGGCTTAAGGTAGCAGATAAAATTGGTGAAGATTTTATGCCACCTTTCTCATGATGGGGAGAGATGGCTCCTCACTGGAGTTTGGGGGCTCTACTCCCAGTATCCCCATTCTTCACACATGCACTTTAAAAGGACCATTCACCGATGGAGCTCTCAAGGGCAGGATGGAGGTGCTTCTCTGGTGGTTCTGATTAACATCTCTTCCACTGAATCCAACTGCTCTTTTTTCTTTCAAAGAATGTATGGATTTGATTGAATCACAGAAATTCAAGAGGAAGGACCAAATGTATGGGCTTGGTTGCAGGTGAATAGGGAACTTGAGCACTTGAGAGGGGACACAGGTTGGGATGGGAGACATTTGTTTCCTGCTATAAAGTCTACTTATTTGTTTTGCCACCAAATCAAATCTTTCTTCCCATGTTAATAACTTTCAAAAAAACCCTCCTGGGCTTATAGCTTTTGCAGAGGCTTAACCTAGGGATGAATAGGGTTGGATATGTTTTGTTTGGTTGAATTTTGGTTTTGGGTATTTTATTGGTTCAGGGTTTTTTAAAATCTGAAGCAAAATACATTCAGCATTCTCTAGGGAAGGGTGAAAACATCCTTCTTCTGTGAGAAGACTGATGCTATTTTGTAATTAAGTCAGAAAAATGTTCCAGATGGCTAATCCTTCCCTGCAGGCAGTTTCCTGAATAAGCTTTAGACAAGAGACAAGTGTTTGTGCATGTGCAGGCAAGGTACAAAGTTTGTGCTAAGTACAATTCTATGACTAATGTATGGACTCTAAAAATATCATAGCATCACAGGGCATTTTGGGGTAATTTTGTGTTAGTTTTTCTGATGCTTCTCTTTGGAGTTCCTCTGTAGAACAATGTGGTAAAATCAAGAGTAGTCTTTTTCATGCTGAGATTTAATACAATTGTGTATGAAGACCTGATTATGGTGATAACACTCTATTGAATGAAGGCTCCTGTAGTTACATTAATCTGCCCTCTCTGCTGGTGTGTTATGACACCATTGCTCAGCTAGGATAAAGAATAGTCACTGTTCTGTTGAGAAAAGAGTTTTCGCTGACTTAACTTGGCTTGAGTATTCCTTCTATTCAGGTGCCCATCTCTATGCTAGGACCAGGCTTTGGAGGGGGCCTTTCTTAGTGTGCAGAGCCCTGATGTTCAGCATGCCATTCCTGTCTCCCTGCTCTCATCTGCCTGAAATTTGTCAAGTGTGCCTGACTTTTGGGGCACCATTCCTCTCTGTCACAGAATGGTGTGTGTCAGCACCTCTCCTTGCAGTGGTACTGTCTCGGGGCTGTTCTGCACTCCCTAGGAGTGTGGTTGGCTTCTGCTTACTGTGCAGTGGACACATTCTCTGTCTGTATTAGGCAAGTCAGTCTCCAGAATGCCCCTTCCATCCTGGCCTCAGTCCTGTTTTCCTAGCACATTGCTACCCATTTCTGTTGCCTTTAAAATGCCTGCACCAGCACAGGCCCTAGGTGAGATGTGTGCTAATCATGCCCTCAGTGTTTGTGCCTCACAGGGTTCTCCAGAATGAGGATGTTGCCCCCATATCACGTGTAGCTGCTTCCAAATGACACACTTCTGGTTTCATCAGCTGCATTTGGGATGTGTGAAGTCACAGTGATGCTGTTGTGTGAAGATTTTGCCTCCTCAGGGTGCAGCGTTAGGGTTAGGGTTACAGATGTAACTGTAGGGTAATTAGGGTTAGGGTTACAGATGTGGGAACAGATGTTTTCACAGCTCTGTTTGTCAGTGAAGTGTCCACCTGGGCCCCTTTGTCACCTGGTGCTGTCACAGCTCCTGCTGACTGGACTCTCCTACATAAAACTCTCCATTAATGTTGGTAATTAGTACTTAATGCACAGGATAGCTGAGGTGTCTGTGGCCAGAGGCAGAGGAGCCCAGGTTCTCATGCCTGTTCTATGCATGGTGCATGCAGAGGAATTCAGGGCTGTGACAGGCACTTGAGAAAGGGATCTCGTATGCATACAGCATATGAATGTAGAGGGGCTGGTTACACCATAAAGGCAATGTCTGAGCAACTGAGGGTGCAGAGTCCCTTGAGTGTCTCTGAACACCAATGTCTGTCTTAGAGGGTTTGGAGAGCTTGCCTTATGCCGTGTGTGTTACTGTAACTCCTCAATCTCAGCTGCACTGTACAGTGGTCAGAATGGGCACTACTGACAAATGAGGCAAGATGCAGTGTGGCTTAAATAACTTTGTACTGTAGGCAGGTGAAGGGCTGTGAAGGTGCTCGCCCTGTTGTTTACCTGGCTGCTGACCTGGACTTTGGCTTGCTGCACCTCTGTTGGGTGCAGTCCTGAGCTCTGTGGAACAGGCCAGTGTGAACTGGACCTTGGTGCTTTTACCCAGACTCCTGTCAGTCCTGCTGTTGTGTACGTTTCAGCTGCTTGCTCGTCCCTGGAAGCAGTGCTTTGAAGCACAGCCCATGACAAGGGACTGAGATGGAGAATCTGTGTGTCTGGCTGTTTGCCCCAAAAGGGTGGGCAGGCAAGGGCCACAAGCAACTCTCCAGCCCAGCTCAGCAGTACTGGTATCACAGGAACCTGTCCTTACTGGGCAGGGCTGTATGCCTTAGCACCATAGTGGTGGTTGTATTGATCACTGAGGCTCTCCTGGGATGGGGCATGTGTGAGGCTGTGCTGCAGGGAGTAAGGCTGTGAATGAGCCCATGGAGGAGGCTTTTTTTTCTTGGGTTTATAGGGAAAGGAGGAGATAAAGCCAGAAAGACATTGCAGAGTGGAACGGTCACCTGGGCTTTTCTGCTGGCGGAGATGTGACAGACTTCTCCGAGAAATACACCATGTTCCTGCTGCTGTTGTGGATGGTAGGAGAGCTGTGGTCTGTCCTGCCTGGAGGAGGCCCTAATCTTATCCAGCTCACACTGTAGCAGGAGCCCATGGGATGAAATAATAGGGTCTGTAGCTGTTTGTCCCATCTCATGGAACATGCCTTGTGGTAGCTGCACAGTGGAGCCAAGCCTGTCTCTGGGCTGTGCATTCACAGCAACGAGCGCTCATCACTACCAGACTATGCAGAGGAAGCTGTCTGGAAGGGAAGGAAGCTACAGAGGCCCCTCTGGCTTCCCCTTCCAGCTGCTGAGCAGCTTTTTATATTGCACTTTTCACATTAAGTGTCCCTGTCCCCACCCCACACTTCAAGTCACTTTGTCCCATAGAGAACTAACAATCCTTGTCTCAGAAAATATTGTGAAAGAAACTACAGCAGCTGGAGTAGCCCAAATGCTAGTTCCTGCCCACAGCAGCACACGTGCCTTTCCCCAGCATCACTCGCAACTGCTCCTTGTCTTTCGAGCTGTGCTAGAGCCTGACACTTGTCAGAAGCTGCTAAGACAGCTACAAATATACATTCAATATAGTTTGGCCCAGGGTGTTCCACATATAGTTTAAAATGCTGATGGTCCAGGCCCTTCCACGGCCTTCACACCTGTCCATCAAGGACAGAATTGCCCCCTAAGGTCCTTCAGGCTGCTGCCACCCACCCTGCCAACACACCCCTGGCACATTCAAGTTGTTCTTGGCTTTCATGGCACCTTAGCACCGGGGAGGGTCTGCTCAGAGAGAGAGAGACACGGGGGAGCTGGCTGGGCTGCCCTGAGGCAGAGAGATGTTTGTAGATAAAAGTGCTGACCCCTCACTATAATCCCCAGTATATGGCTGTATTAACATGTAACCGATGCAGTGTATCTAAAGCCTTAGAACTAGTCAGGTGCTCCCCTCCAACTTTGTCCCTGCCCCTTTCCTCCTACCTGATCTTTAACAAAGCATTAATAATTCTAAGGATAATCTCTATTTTGTTGTGCTTTTTTTGTAACTGTTTTAAATAAATCAATTTGTACTGTATATTTGTACTTTGGTGAGATCCTTTTTCCTGTTTTACCATTTTAAGTCTGTACTTGCCTACAAACAGATTGTATTTTTATTGTTAATGCTTTTATGAATATTGCATTTAACTTGTTGACTCTGTAAACACAGTATATATCTATATACATATATATATATATCTATATATAAACCAATAGCTTTTCCTTTGGTGTTTGAGACTTTTTGCTTGTCTGCAGTATCACTGGTCATTAGCTTGTGACTTCTCTGGATTTACACAGTGATCTGGAGACTCATGTCAAGGGCAAGATACAGGGTGAAAGATTGATTATTAGCCATAATTCTGTGTTTTCAGATACTTTTGTGTTATGTGGTCTCTCCTGAACCCCTTAGAATAAAGATAAGGTGTCAGTGATGGTACAGGGAAAGTTTCAGCTGCATGTTGCAGAGTAAAGGTACATTTCTGCTGGGCAAGCAAAACATGAGGCAGAGAAAAAGCAGATACTGCCAGAAGCAAACTGGGAATTTTAGTATGAAAATGAACAGAAGTAAGGATAAAAATGAGAGATCACAGAACAAAAGGGGGACATGAACAAAGCAACATGGAACTGAACAGCTCCTTTACAGTGCCTTTTCCCAAGGAGAGAGAAGCAGAGATGGCTCCTGGGTTCAGTCCTACATGATGAATGAACGTCATGTTCAAACAGCTTCTGTACAGGGAAGAAACTAAATGTTGCAGTGGCAGGTGGAGAAAACTTGCACTGAAAAGATTCAATGCTGTTTCCTAGCAGCATCCCCAGGGCTGGCTATAAGAGTAGTTCATTGCCAGAAAAATGCAACATTATGCATTTTGAAGGTTAACTTTTAATTAGGGCTTTAAGGGACTGCAATCAACCATTTTTCAAACTGAAAAATTAGTAGGAAATGAGGGTTTTAAGTAATCTGATCAAAAGATTTTGCTTCTTGTTTTAACTTTACTCTTCTGATCTCAAGTATCGGTCTTGTGACCACCATTTCTAACTTAAAGAAGAGAAACAGCCATCAGAGAGAAGACAGTACTTCCCAAGGTGTTTAAACCGTGTATGACTCTAACTGGAAATTCTATGGAGGTAATAGGGGTTTTCAGGCTACAAAACACAGAAGTGTGGCACACTGCCTTTTGGTGGGCTGGTATCTAAAAACCACAAAGCTACATCAAGCATTTTCAAGTGCTGATTCTTAAAGAAGCCGAATAGTGGAGAGTGTACCACTTCTTTGCCCTGCCATGAGTCCCTCTGTGCCACTGCTTTTCCTTTTGCAGTTTAAAGATGCCTAGATATAATTTCCATAGTTGCATAGTTTTAACAGTGATTTCTATTAGTGATGGGGACCTTTTCTTGTAGGCACAGGCTATGATCGCATTTTGCCTCCAGTATATCTGTGTTGCTCTTGCACTGGGGACTCCAGCACTGGACACAGGTCTCTAGATGTGGCCTCACCACTGCTGAATAAAGGCAAAAGCAAACCCATAGAGTCCTAGACACTGACCTTCTCTATTACCATTCAATCAACTGTTTCACTTGGAAACATGAAATGTTGTTTAAGTGAAAATTAACTTGTGAGTAAAGCGGCAAACTTGTTTGCTATTTGTTTACCTTGGCCAGTCTTTCACTGTTTTTTTGGGTTTTTTTCTAAAAATAGGACCTCAGGTTCCTTAGTTTTTCCATGGATGCTACTGCAACTAAGTATGTAATAATGATGTTTAAAAAAAGGGTGTGCACAGTAATTTCCAGAAGGACATCCTCCTTTGTTTCCTTTTTATGGGCACAAACGGGAAATTATTTACTCCTGGAGGACTTGTGGCCTATCTGTCTTCAGCTCTGTAACTCATGCTGCAGTAAGCAAGATCCTTTTTTCTTGAGGTGGGTTTCACCTACAGCGTAACTGCAGCAGTCTAGACACATTCACGGGGCAAGGGCCCAAAAACAGGACAAAGCACAAAAGGTAAGGAAGGGGACTAATACATGTGAACATGAATTAATGTCAATTAATACGTTAATTTATTTTCGTTCTGTCACAGGCTGTGACTTGGCCCCCAGAGCAGACTGTATCCTCAGAATCTGCTCCCACCAAAGCTGCTTTGGCAGGTATCTCTCAGCTCTGTTCTCCTGGGTTGAGAGGAAAACCATAACCACCTGTCAGGGAGGCTCAGGCAGGGACCCACAGCAGCCTCCTGAGCACAGAAGCCTGCTAGTGCACATGTGGCAGGTGCAGCAAAGGCAGCACAGTTCTTGGCTGTGGTTTAGTGCAACGCACTGTTGCTCTGCTCCTCAAAGGTCATTTTGCCCAGCAGCTGGCTCTCCAGCTCCACATTGCTTACTGGCAGCTGAAAGAAATTCATCTCAGCTGCCAAAGCAGCCATGGCAGAGGGGTCCTGGCCAAACTGTGCCCGGAGCATCATATCCATTTTCTCCAGGCGCCGCTTGAGCCTCTTGGCCTCACGCTCCCGGATGAGCCGGGCTTGTCGCTTCTCAGGGGTCTCGTTGGCACGTTTCAGGCGCATGGCTTCCCGGTCCCTCTGCAGCCGCCGTGCCCGCTGCTCATCTGTCTCCTGCATGCGCTGCAGCCGCTTGGCTTCCCGGTCCCGCATGCGCCTCACTTCCCGCTCCTCGGGTGTCTCATTGTCCCGCCGGCTCTTCTTGGCTGTGCGCTCCCGCTCCAGGCGCTGTAACCGCACTTCCAGGGGCTCGTTCTGGCGCCGCAGGGCCCACTTGCGCATGCCGGGGGTTTGCGCCTCGAGTAGCTTACGGTATGCAGCGCAGTTGTTGCACACCAGGAGGATGCCCGCAGGATACACAGGGGTGCAAAAGGCAACATCCTTACCCTCGGTGCTGGAGGGGCCCTGGCTCTGTGGTGCTGGCAGCCGATCCGCACTGAGCACTTCTGGCAGCTTCTCACTGCAAAGCAGGACGAATGGAGTCAGAGGCTTGGTGCTGTGGGCAGAGTCCCCATCTCTGAGTGCCCATGGGCTGCTGTGAACAATGTTCCCACTACAGCCCATGGCAGAGACCTCTGCTAAATCATTTGCCCACAGATATGTCTAAGTGTCTAAAATAAAGCACAATCCTAGCCAGGGTAAGGAAGTGCATTAGCCCAGAGCAGTATCTCAGTTGGAAGAGTTCAAGAGTGGGAACAAACCAGCAAACTGCTTCTCCCCTTTATCTCTGAATTTCTCCTTTTAGCCCCATTCTGCTAGTCAGTGGATAATCATCCACTAAGCAGGACACAAAGAAAGAATTTGGTCTTTGCCTGTAGTCCTGCTCTGGACATGACAAACACATCTGGATAGTGCAGCCTTACTCCAGTGAATTGCTGGGCAAGGAAAGGGGTGGATTGTTCTCCAGTGACTTGAGCCCACAGTGCATTCTGCACTTCTCTAGCCCTGCACAGTGTTAAGAACGACCCTTTTACCAGCACAACCTGCGGACATCTTGGCAGGGGATGCAGAACTGCAGACAGGAAGGGATCAGGAAAATGTCACTCACTGGGGGTGTTTAGCACTGTCCTACAGGCCTCAGTGGGTCCAGAGCCACAACTTCTGAGTCATTCAAGGCAACCCACCTAATCTTTAATGTGCTGCCCTAGCCCACTCACTGGCCAGGGTGACCCTGACCTGTTGAAGGTGGCGTGGCTGGTGAAGCGTGCTCCACAAACTGCACAGTTGGATAGCTGGTCCTCTGAGTGGATCAGGAGATGTCTTCCAAGGGATCCCGGGGAGCTGAGGGCTCTGCCACACACAGGACACAGGTAGCTCTTGGCACTCACCACCGCTCCAGTGTGCTGCAAAACAACCATTCGCGTGGTAGTTACACATTGCCTAGCTCCCTGCCCAGTCCAAGGCATGCTAAAACCATTCTGTTCAGCCTCTTGGAATGGGAATCCTTTATCACTACACTTCTGTCTGCTAGATTTTAGACCAACCTCAAGACAATTAATTTGGTATGTCACAGGTCAAAAAAGGAGGAAACCCCTGTACAGCTCAACTCCAGTGCAGGAGAAAAAATTAAGGCCTAAACACTTGGATTATAAGACCTGACTTTTGTTTTCAGAAATGCATTTGAGGAGCTGCTGGTGCAGGACAAAGCATGACTCAATTAACAGCAAGGCAAGATGCTGGTGAGGAAGCACTTCAATGGAGACAGCTGGTACAGGTAAGCGGCCAATTCAGTTCTGCTTCATTCCTTCTGCTACAGACTTTGATGTGCTATGAAGAAAGCACTGACAACAAAATCTAAGACTTCACCACAGATTTCTTGCAACACTGGAATTACTTTGAGGAAGAATAGCTATTCTCATGGGTAATTACAGGAACTGTAATGAGGTATAAAATAAATTATTAAGAGGAAGGTTTCTTATCTCACTGAATGATATAAAAATTGCTTCCGTGTTTAGTTTGATGGAACTGTCTAGTTTTAGCCTGAAAGACTTGCAGAAACTGGCTTGGCATAGAGTTATGTTTTCCAGATCTATAGATCAGGACCTTGCTAATTCTTTCCCCTGGATGCCCTCTGGACACACGGTTTACAGCTGTAAACTTCAGTCACATCCTAGCTAGAAACTCAGTTCTGTGGTTGCCAGGACCAGAATAAAGTTATCCTGTGCTTTGAGTTGTTTCTAGATTTGAGGCTTCAGGTCAGAGACATTCCACAGTTTGGAACTATCCCTACCTGGTATACATGTGCAATGAGTTGATCTCTGCTTCCACACTCCAGCTGGCAGAGGGGGCATTGTGACAGTCCCAGCATGGGCTCAGTGTTCAAACTCCCAGGCACCTAGGGGTAGGAACAGCCACTTATGTGTAAGGTACACAGACCCCCCACAGGCACACTGCCCTTCCTCAGCTCCTCCCAACGCTGCCGCTGCTGACAGATCCAGTGCTGTGTGCTCAGACCTGCCAGGCTGGTTTGGGTGCTTGACACCTGAAAGAAACCTCCTTCATGTAGCCTCTGGGCAAAACTCCTGCATCTCATGGAGAGGAGGCAGAGGCCTGACAACCTCACTTGCCCCCAGGTTCTTGCCAGCACAGGGACTCTAGAAGGCAGGGCCTGTTCTGTGGCAAAGGGAAGCCAATTGGAGAATGGCACTAGAACCAAGGGAAGCAGGGACACATTGCAAACATCTTGGCCAGTTTGTGCCTGCTGTCTCCTGTTCCAGGCAGCCAGAAAGCTCTTCATACCTTTTCCTCCTTTCAGAAAACATTGTTTGGAGGAGGTGGGAGAGAGAGAAAGATAAAGAAACATGATGGGGAGAGGAAGTATTTAGACAGTACCCTTCTCTCTCCCTGGAGGCTACGGTGAGTGGAGAGCCAGCAGTACACACTTGCCTCATTTTCTCTCATCAATGGGGTTCCGCCCACAGGTCGCTCTGAATTTTCTAATTCCTTCTTCACTTTCACCACTGAGCCATCTTCCTCAGATGTATGGGAAGAAACTTCATCCTGAGTGGTTTCCTCATCATCGCTGCCACCTAAAATGTGCAGAACAGTTATACCAAGTGTCAGGACCTTGAGGGCACTCATAAGCCTTAACTGTCCTGACCGGCATTACAAGGGGTCTCTACCCACCTCCTGCAACTAGGGGTTCCATTTAAACTCAGTCTAGGGCACTTGAGTCCCTGGGCATGGCCTCTTACACTGCCTTGCTTGACAACTGCCAGACCTTCAGCCAAGAGCTGCTGCTGTTCCTACCCTGCTCTGGCGATATGGGACTGGGTCCCATGGCATTGCCCAGTCTGTGCTGTGCTGGTCCAGTCATTAGGACAAATCTGCACTGGAGCAAAGGGCTAACTTGGAGGACAGCTGGGCAAGACAGTCCTCAGAGGAGCCACACGCACTGTATAGCCCTCAGATTCAACCCTTTCTAGAGTCTCCCCAGTCTACTACCTTGGTGGTACTGGAAGGGGCAGAACTCACTGCTGCTGGAGTCAGGGTCTTGCAGTGGACGAATTGCTGGCCTTTGGTCCCCAAGAGTTGCAGGAAAGCTGTTTTTCATCATGGCTTGACGGGCTTGCTCCTCCAGCCCTGCAAAGACTTGCTCCCCTAGCAGCCACAAAGACAAAAGAGTCAGACTGGTGCTGTTCCAATGCTTCCACCACCAAGGCTTGCCAAAAATACAAGACATGGGGCTGCTCACCTGCACTGTGCAGAACCTCTGGAGTCATCTCTTGGAAAGCACTTAGGTCACTTCTCTGCTTGCCTACCCTGCCACACCAGCCTCTGGCACCTGCTGATGTGAGTCCAGTGCCTGGATGTAGAAGAGTCTCACTAGTGGCAATGTGCAACACTGGGCTCCATATACTATGTATATGCTGCTTCAGCCACAAAATACCTCTGACCCCCTATATCTGCCATAAATAGCCAGGTGGCTCTTGCTGCTACCAAGCTATCCACCAATATCCTACAGCACAATTGTAGGGTGAGGGGAAGCCCCTGGGGACTGTGACAGTATTCCAGATCAGGGAAAATACTATATAGCATTATAAGAGCTATATAGCTCTTCTGAATTATCAAGTCTTATTCCTGCTATAACAGGCATTTTGCACAAAAATAGCACCTCCCTAAGTGCCTGGTACCTGCTCTTCAAAGTGATATGAAAACTAGGGGTTGTCCTTGGCATGCTCTGTCACCTTCTTCTGTCCCAGGAGGGATGAGGACAAGCTGTCTTTACAAAAGGTATCTATGCTTGGAGCTGTGTTCTCCTGTGTATATGATGGATAGAAAACTACCTTGCCTTGCTCAGGAATGGCTCTCACTAAAAAAAATCTCACTGGAACTTCATGTATTCAAAACAGAAACCTAAGGGAATGAACCCAGAAAGCTAAGATGCATGTTTAAAACAAAACAGTTTGTTTTGTTGAAAGCAGCAAGCTCAGCTCAATAGGAGATGGCACATACCTTTAAAAAAAGTAGTTACTTGTGCTCTGAATAAAAACTTCTTACAGCAATCCCTGCTCCAAGAAGTTTTGGTTCCAGAGAGTAACAATAAAAGGCAATAATTAATTTTCATATTAAAGCAAATTACACAAATTACACTGTTCCAGGTGTAGTCATGATTTACCTTCTCCAGTGGATGAGCTGGGAGGCTTGGGAAAGATGCTGTGGTTCCCAGCAGGCTGGCTTTTGGGTTGCATTTATCAACTGATTCGTAAGCACTCAAGAACCATTCAAAGCATGAATGTGAAAATGCCAAGGAAAATGCAGTGCATTTTTTACACAAAATCAAAACATAGCTTTCAGAAGACTATGTTATGTTACCTTTTAGTATAGGGCCACAGCAGCCACCAGTATAACCAGGAAATTGAACTCCTGAGAGAGAGCACCAGTCCTGTTACAAGGACAGGTACATTCCCGTCTGCTGAACTGTTCCAGCCAGTGTTGCTCCACTCACACTGCCTTCCTTGGGGCTCACCTTGCAATTTTGGCATGGTTTTAAAAAGCCATCATTTATGGAAGATTTCAAAGACCTTCAGAAGTTTCACTGAGACTGTGGGAGAAGAGTTTTAGTTCCCAATGTCCCCATGTAGGTTTCCAAAAGCATTTGAAGGCTTTTATCATTCTGTTTCAGAAATGTGAGAAAGGGTGCTGTAGAGATTTGAGAACACAATCCATGTGCCTGAGGAGAGGGGCTGAGAAACACCAAGTCTATTTCTCATTGAAATCACCAGGCACCATCAAGACTGCTGTGATACTCCATCAGAAGCCATTCCAGCAATGAATGGTTTTCATGACCTGGAATGCTTTTATGTGTGGACCACAGCCTCACATTGGTGGGACAACTGTACAAGCACCACAGAATTCCAGTGCCTCTCCAAGAAGCAGAAACCCACAAACCACCAGGGTAGAAGTCCATAGACCAAAAAAGGCATTGCAAGAGAAAGAGAAAGCATGGTGAAATGAGGAAACCCACAGAACATAGGACAGATGTAAAACTACCACAGGAGATGTCCTGCTACCTTTGACAGAGTTCCAAAACAGTTCCTGAATTCCACTGAGGCTGCTCATGGAAGCAATTACATGTTTGTTTTCTTCCCTCTTTTCCCCTTCAGACAGATTACATTCCCACTGAGCATCAGCCTGGAGTCCAAAAGCAGGGCAGGTTCCTGCTCAGCTATGCAAACCATGCAGACAATCTGCAAGCCTTAAGAGCTGGAATCTTTATCTGAGGCGACAGAAGAAGGAACTCCTCACGCAAGGAACACTGGCATCAGTCACAGTAACTGGGAGAAATTGTGTGTGCCTTTAGCCTTTGTAGAACACCCCCACAGCCCACAGAGCATTGACTCAGCACAGTGCAGAGAACAACCAGCTTACAGCCAGCAGTGCAAGCTGTTAACCAAACCCATGCTGTTAGCAGGCGATGTCCTGTGCATCCTCCCCAGCTCCCCAGTATCTAAAAACATCACGGCACTGGGAAAGGCAAACATGGAAAAACACTGTCTTCCACTTGTACAAAATTTCTTATGTGTTATAGTAGTGTACAAAAGAACTTAGGAAAGTGTCCTGTTCATCTACAGACTAAGTGCTACTTTAATAAAGTTTTACAGCTTTAATGTTTGATAGGTCCAGGGTTATACTTTTGATGTTTCTGCACACACATGCTCACAAACAGACACACACCCACCTCCACCCCACTTTGGGTACACTTCCATTCATTTGGAAGGGAAGTTGAGACAAGGCAACAGCTTTAGGATCACTGCCGTAAGTAAAGAATGTTATGCTCAATAGTGAATTCACAGACTCTTCTCCAGAAGTTTCTTTATTAAATACAAAAAGGGCTGCAGGCTGACCACAACACCAAAACAAGTCACTGTAGTTGTTTACAAACAGCTAGAGACGTAGGACAAGAGATCACACAAATGCCTCTGCTTTGTATTCCATTCTCCTCTCCAAACTGCTGTGAATGAGTGGGATGCCAAGTGAGCAGTGGTGGAGGTAGGGGACAGCCCTGTGGTACTGTGTAACATGGACAGGCATGATTGCTAGGGTCTGCTGGGGTATCAGCAGACCTTGAGCCCTTCCCTTCTTGAACTGTGTAAATGCACGATAACTGTCAGGTGTTCTGGAAAATAAACACAGAAACAAACAACTCCCACCCCAAAATCCACAAAACAAAATTCAAAGGGACTACATCATTCTCCTGCCTTCCTTCCTAAACAGAAAGGTCTCTCATAGGTAAGTCATTTTATTCCCTCCTTGTACATCAGTTAAAAGTCCCTGTTCATGTAGGTCTTCTCTGTGTTCCTGGACCTGAAATTTGCAAGTCTTTCCACCACTGTGGATCTATTCCACCTGCCCCATGGCTATTCTGGGTTGTCCACACTGCTGTAGTGGTTACTGAAATGAAAAACAACACAATTGAAAGGGTTAACAATGGCAGTCCATGGAGCCCTTCAGAACCAAGGGATTTGATGCAAGTAACATTTCTGCTCGGCTGTGAATGCTGGAAGCTATTTCTCGCAAGATACTTTCCCTTCAAAATGGGAATATTATAGACAGGAGAATCCAAGGAACACCAAAGAGCAGAGAACATGTATGTTAGAGAGAAAGGGAAGGAAATAGAGGATTAATGGGATATCAGAACCATGATAAATAGAGCTTGGAAGCAGAAATTAATCTGACTAACAAAAGCTCTTCTCCAGAGTTCCAAAATAAGCATCAGTTGCAGAGGGCACAAGCAATAGAAAGCAAAGCAGCTTGTGGACAGCAGGGAAAGAGAAGTGCATGCTAGTACCTGCAACAAATTTTGGCAAGCACAAAGACAGAAAGTGGTCAGTGACTGATGGGATGACAGCGCAATGAATGCAAGAACAGATGAATTGCTTAGAGTTTTTATACTTTTATACTGCATACTCTGGGAGAAAAATAAAGACCAAATAGAATCAATTAAGGTATCTAAACACAAACAATCTAACTGCATTTTATTTTTCAACAAGTATATTCCACTACTACTGCTCTGTTTGTTAGCACTTTGTCAAGTGTGCTTTTCATGCACCACATGGCAAAATAAAATTATATTCTTAAGAGCCATTTATGTGCTGCAGGTGAAAGAAGACAAAACTGTGGGACTGGCCATCATGCACAGAAAGACTTTTGTGATAAATTTTACCACAATTTTTACCATTGTTTCAGTATTATTTTGAATTTCCTTCTATTTAAAACTGTTTTGAATTGAATCTCCTAGCTGGTTGCTCTGCTTGCCAAGCAAAGTGATTCTGTCCTAAATGAGGACAGCAAACCATGTTGTTGTGAGAGCAAGGTGAAATGAGGACCATGCCAAGCCTGGAAAGTAATCCTGGAAAGAGGAGACACCAAGCAAGCCAAGGAGAGGAGATTGGCAGCTGTCACTCTCCCTAGTCAGTCCAAGACGGAAGAGAAGATGGAGTGGCCATGCAAGGAAGAAGTAGGCACCATTCTCCCATCAAATTTGTCCAGTCATATATGCACAGTCATATTTATGCAAATCCAAAAGGCAGTTCCCCAGCCCCGTAGCCTGCCAAATCCGACCCCAGCTGCAGGCAACTGCGTAAAAAGCTGCATACCTGCTGTCCCTTTCATTCCTCTCCTCCCAACCACTGCAGTCCCTGTGAAGAAGTCTCAGTAACGTGTCTGCTATGTCTCAGCCTGACTCCTCATTCTGCTGTCTCACCCCGTTCTTGGAGCCGGTGTTTTCTCCGATTATCCTCGTCAGGGCACTGCACGGCATTTCTGGGCCCTCCAGACACACAGCAGGCTAGGTAGACAGAGAAGTCCCAACGATTTCGTGGTGTTCATCATAAGACAGATGAGATTTTTCATCCCAAGGTGAAGACATCACCACTGACAAGTTTCTGGTATCTCTCGGTCCCCTTATTTTCTTGTGGTTCTACTTGTTGCTCTCGATGGCTCCTGCTGAATAGTTGCTCTGTAGCAACATACTGCATGTAAAGGAGATGAACAGGTCCCAGAATTCCACTCCATGGCAAACCTGATGCTACAACCTCCTGCCCCCTGGTAGAGTGTTTGTCAGATAACTTCCTCCAAAACCAAGATTGGAGATACAATCATTTTTATTGCATATAAAAAAAGCAATGTTCACTGTGACAACAGTGCACATCTGAATTTTCTGATATGTAGATTTCTGTATATGATAGTACAAGCTTCTGAAGAACATAACCCTTATGCAGTGAAGTGCAGAAAAGCACCCAGCTAAACACCATGGAAACCCTACTGGCACCATTAGAGCTGCTGTAGTGCTTGGTTTCCGTATGCAAGAGATCCCGACTCTGGCCCAGGGGAGACAGCTTATGTGCATACATGACATAAACCTGAGCTCAATGGCAGCAGTAATGCCTGGGCACTCTCAGAAGCAGAAGTGTGTGGACACAAGGGATGTTACTGGCATCAGAGGACAAAATACTGAACATACCAAATTTCTCAAAGAATGACAACTCCAAAGTCATTAATGTACTATCAGATAAATTACACCTATACTCTGCCCACTGTGGAACCCAGCAACCAGAAGCAGGAATCAGAGAGCACGAGGTAATGCAGGTGCCACAAGCCACACTCCTTGAGAACCTCACTCTGGCCAACGAGGACAGCTCAGCTGGCTCTGCCAAGCTGCCCAGACAGTGGGGCTGCAAGTCTCAGACAGAGGCAGCTCTTCCCAGTGCACTCACCAAGTGTGCAAGGTGTCAGCTCCAGCCCAGTGTTTCCCCTTGCACAGAGAGCAGCATGCACAGATGCCTGTTGCGTGCCTGTGCACAGAGGCAGCACACAAACACACAGACATGCAAGCCAGCAGCACCAGCAATGAGGCAGTGTTAGGGCTGCAGCACTCAGCTCTGTCTCATACCCCTGACAGCTACTGCAGCAAAAAAACCACAGGGACCTCTCAGCAGCCTTGCTCTCACAGGTCTATAGAAATGGAAATTTGTTTTCCTAATTCCAGCCCAAATTCCAAGCATGTTTCCAGCCACAAAACTGGGTATGATCAAGGGCATATTTTCAGGCCCCTCAAATCCTGTTTGCTGCCAAACAAAAGCTATGTATGTGTGGTTTCCCCTCTGCAGCCAAACCTTCACCTGTGTCTCCCAGCTCCACTGGTGCCTGGCTCTAGCCTGCCCATGAGAAGTGCTGATGCACAGCATCTTCAACCCTTTCACTGTCAAACAAATTGTCTTGGCAATGATGGAGAAACAGAGATCCATCTTACCACCTCAGCACAAGAATGATCTGGCACACAGCATTTATTTGTCCTGTAAATTATTTGGCCCCCACCCATTCCTTGACAGAAGAGAGCAAATGGCTTTATTTCATTATCTGGTAAGAAACTGAGGTACAGTGAGCTTAAGTAACATGCCCAAGATCAGTCAACTGAGTCTGTGGTAGGGTGAATATCAAAACCCAGGACTTGCTGGCTTTTAGCCAGCATGCTCCAACCACCTTGCCTAGAACTTCCTTTGCTACTCAAGAGAGGCCAGAGCCCCAAGCCACATTTTCTAGTATTCTAACTTGTACTTTTGGCAGTGTGAATGCAAAGCCCAGCTACAGGCCCTGCACATACTCACCTACCTTTACAGCATTAGCTGTTTGTTCAAGCCTATCCCTGTCCTGCTATGCCAGGACACAGCCAGCTTCCCTGATGCACAGAGCTCAGTTTCTCTTCCTATACACCCTAAAACAAAACATGAGCAACCACCATTCCCTACAAGCTGTCCCTTCCCATAACTCCCACCATTCCACCCCTCCCCATCTCACCCCACAACCCAGACAGAGCTAGGGTCCCACAGTGCTGCATAACACCATACTCACAGTGAACTTTGTTAGGAGTGGTCTGTTTCCGACGGGACATGTTTCCCTGACCTGGGAGCACAGAGTGTTTCTCCCCTCTGCAAAGGGCTCATCTGAGAAGAGAAGAGTCTGTCACATACTTCACTGAAATCCTCCAAATCCCTGGTCAAGCTCTGCTGGCTGTCCCAGGGTCATTCCCCACCCTTCTGCCTATGGGGCTCGTTCTGCATCACCACAGCTGGATTCCAGGCCAGCATCCAACACATTCCACATGCATGTCAAAAAGCACTGTGCACAGAGTGCAAAGAGCAGTTCTCAGACAAAGATTTAAGCAATCCTGACCCCCCAAAAGTTGAGTGTCCCCTTCAAAAATTACTGCAACTTCAGCCCCAACACTCTTCTCCCTCATGCCCATTCCTGCAGCCTAATAATCATCCTTTTCGTCGAACTAACAAAGGAAGGTGGAATTTCCAACTGTTCCCTCAGAAAGACAGACAAAAGGAGGAGCTGAACCCATTTCCCACAAGACACATGGACACAGAGTACCCGTCAGCCTCCTCAGAGGGACAAACACACGGATTTTGTCAGTCTCTTGCTGACAGAGAGACACAGACATCCCATCAGCTTTCTCAGACACAGGGACAAAAGGATCGTCTCAGCCTCGCACTGCCAGACGGACACAGGGATCCCATCAGCCTTCTAAGACGGATGGGCACGAAGACCTCGGCAACCTCCCCAGCCAGCGGCATCAGCCGGCAGTCCCAGCACACGGGAGACGTCAGCAAAGACCGGGCCCGCAAGCGGCCGGACATCGAGACAAAGGGCTGCGGCTCCTCTGGCATCGAGGGGGACGCAGGAACCCTGCCCGGGCCCCCACAGTCCCGACCGGGCAGCCCTGACAGCCAGACCGGCCCTGGCAGCGGAGGTCCCGCCG